TTTTACATAGCAATAGAACATCTACATCATTCAAAACTAAATCAAAATTAAAGTATTTTTGTATACCACACATTAAAAAAAAGAAAGTTGTTTCTGAAATTTGTGCTATTTAACTATAACATTAGCCTTTCGAACGATAATTTTTTGGAAATACAATCACTAAACAAGATAATGTGAGTTTAAAATCATATCAATATTTTCTTTTCAATTTTTGATAACGTTCTAAAAAATTTGACTCCTTTAAACTTACATAAAGCTAAAGCTAATACAATGTATATCAAATGAAAAAAAAAATTATGCAAAAATTCGATTTCTTGCAGTTTTTGGGCTCTAAAGCCAAAAATAACAATTTTCAAAAAAAATAGTAGTATTGGACTACTTAGATCATTCTAAATTATTTAAAATTATTAAATCTAATATATGATTAAAAAAGAAAAGTGACTTATCGCTTTTGAGAAATTAATCTTTTAAGTAATAAACTATATAATTTTTGCCAAATATAATTAATCTCATTAATCGCCCCTCAAATGTGACAAAGGGACGCAGCAGTATTATCCTTTTCCACGGGAGTGTTGTAATAGACTTAGATGGTTTGGCCATGTTATGAGGAAAGAAGAATCGAAAGCTGTAAGAACAATTATAGAAATAAATTTTAAAGGAAGAAGAGATAGAGGAAGACTAAAATTTAGATGGAGAAATTTTATAAAATGCGATATGAGAACTGCTAATGTGTACGTAAATGATGTGGGAGATTGTGTCAAGTGGAACTTAAGGATTAAGTTAGCCGACTCCAAGTAAATGGTATATAGGCGAGGTAGATGAAGAATAAGATTTATCGATGTTTTACAACAATAATAATTATTGTAATCACTGTTAAATATCAATCAATACTAATATAAAAAAATGCAAAACTTTCCTATGCTGCATTCGTACTATATTGAATTTTTTATTAATTTGTAAATATTCTATACAAATGATGATTCTTTTAATATTAGCCTATCAATTTCTCTCACAATAATAATTTTTTATGGTTTTTATTCGTTAAATATCTATTATGTATCTAATGTTTAAAGGGATGTCAACTTTATTTTACGTTCGATGCCTGTCTATGAATGTATTAATTGTATCATGATGTCTTATTTATTTATATTTGTTTGTGTCTGTCACTACTTTTTCTTAGCTCTCACTGAATCAAATTTTTTTAAAGATACGTTAAAAGATTACAAATCGTAACTACACCCAAAGAAAAACCTCAATCAAAATTGAAAGAGAAATTTTATCAAGGGTTTATGATAATGTTTTATTAATACGAACAAAATAACTATTCTTATAAATAATTATTGTTCAAGACAAGAAAAAAAAATATCATATTGATAAATATATCATTGATTCAATAGTAATGATATATTTATCAAATTGAACAATGAATTTATTATATAGATCGAAGTTTTTCTCTGGGTGTAGTTAAAGACATTAACCTCAAAAATTGAAAAGTTTTTCCTTATTCCCCATAAATGGTTGAAATCTCCCAAAAATATTAAATTTTTAAAAATAATTTTTAGAACTTTAAAATTTTTTTTTTACTTAAGATTTCATAACTTTTTTTAAAAAAAGAGTGAATCAAAAGAAATTTTTTCTCTAAAGTGAATTAATAATACTTTTATAAAGTTAAATATGTATAAAGGAACAATATTAAGGAAATTTTATATGTTAATTTTCATTCGATTATATTTGTAAGTATTCATTATTTTTTCTTTTTTGATATAACGACTTATTTTCGCTGGCAAGTAAAACTATAAATAAATATTTACTACATATTATTCACTTATAAGAATCAAGGTTTATAAAATCAACATATTATTTTAACTCGCCAAGTTAAATTAAGAGCTAAATTATGAATATTTTTCTGAAGAAACTAAAAAAATATTTTATTTTAACATAGTTGCAATTTATTTGAAGTTAACATGTTATTCAGGTTAAAAAATAGTATCTATTCAAATTAATAGTTAAATCATCAAAAAAAGTAACAAAGTAAAATTTAAAATAAAGTAAAAAATTACCGAAAAGAATTACATTATCTTAACGTTTTAACCTTTTAATGACTAGCTAGTGACTAATATAAACAGTCATTTATCTAAAACAAAATAAATAATTTATTATGTGTTATTAAATGTCTTAATTAGTAAAACCCCATTTGGCAATGTCAATTCTAGGTCTAGGAGTTATATACATTTATAAAGTATTCTGAACATAATATCAGTCAGTACAAAATGTTTATTAATTAACTTAAAAACTTAGTAATGTGCTGTTACCGAGCTCATAATTTTATGGGTGATTAGATAGGTTTATCCAACCCTAAAATCATAAATATTTCTACATTACTATATAACCTATAAAAAATCTGTACAAACTTGGGATTTTTCAATGTGGCTTAAACAAAATTTATAAATGCATTAATTCCTAGCTATAGTAATATCTAATATTCCTTGAAGTGATAGTTTTTGTTTAAAATAATAAAAATAAAATAAATAAATAAATACAGAATAGATGAATTATTTTCATATATTCTGTTTGAATATTATGATTGATGCCAAAAAAAATATTTTTATATCCATATAATATTATTTTTTTATAAATGTATATATGTATAATAAGTACTACAGACAAAATAAAATTGCATCTACTATAATTTAGCTTGAACTTCTCGATACTCATCTCCTCAATATTGATACAGTTTTGATTGTTTATATTAAGGTTTTGCAAGTATTAATAAAAAAAAAATTGTTTATTTAATATTATCTTAAAATATCATACATTGACCCATTATTCGATTTAGACTTTAAATTGCTCACTGATCTTAATGAACTATAAACAATACATAAAATATTTATTCAAGCGTAATAAAAATTTTTGTTCTTTGAATACAAAATTCTGAAAATATCAAGTACATAAATTCTTTACTCGAAATTAAAAATAAACAATTGTATAGTGGTAACAAGAAGTGGGTAAAATGGACCTCAGACATCTAACGCGTATTATTGCTAAGAGCACAAACATTCAAGAACGAGAAAAACCCTATTGTTTACTTATATTTGAGTTAAAATGTATTTTAAGTGCAATTTTGTTTTAATTAAGTACATATTTAAACAAGATCATTGTCTGGAATATAATCAAAAACATTCTTTTATAGATCGTTTTTATATCCTAATTTAAAAATTAAATAAACTGTATTTTACTATAAATATGTAAAAATTGCTTCAATTAAAATCAACATAAAATGTTTTGTATTTTTAATTTGTTTTATTAAAAATTTTAAAATGATGAAATTTTCAACTAATCTAATATATAATAAAATAGACCAATGGATCTAATGGCATAATATAATGAAGCCCGGCTATAAATTTTATTCTATTGTAATAGTTCAAAATTTAAGGTCAATACTAATAAGAATTCAACACTCTAAGAAAATTTGTATATATTAAATTATAGTACAAATTGTTATTAATTATTGTCATTTTTTATTTTTAGTAATTTCATGAAATAATTTTTAATTTTTAATTCATATTATTTTGAGTGTACATTATTATGAGATTTATATTGATAGTAAATTTTTAATATTTTACTAACTATTTTTAATAAAAATTTGATTAATTTAGAACAAAACGTTTGAAATCTAAATCACTTTTTCGTTCAACACGTGTTAAGTAGATTGTAGATAGTATGACTGTAACAAATTTATTCATTAGCTTACTTTTAAAATAATTGTGACGGCGAGTAAAAATAAGAAGAAATGGAGTAGGCAATAGAGAAATATTCATCAGAGACGGTTATTTCCATATCAAAGCGACGACGTTAGATTTTTTTTTTTTTTTAAGAATATTTATACAATTTTATCAATCCCGAAACTTTGATAACAAACTTACCGCACTATAGATTGACAACGTCGTATAACGACATTTCTCCTCATCATCAAACTATATTTGTTTTCTTGTTACAGAATCGATACTTTTTATTTATTATTGTTCTCAATTTAAATAACATATTTGTAATATTTCTCTGGCTTTGGCAAAATAAAAATATTTTTCAGCTTGTTTGATACTTTCATATGTAACCGAAAAATAAAAATTCATGTTTTAGAGTTATACATTTAAATGCTTATTTATTAAATGATTAATTAAAATTCAAATAAATAGATCTGAGTACATAAAAATTTACCAATTTAGTTGCCTACATATTTTCATGCAATTAGTTATGAGTTTTCTTAAAATAATATAAATTTATTGAAATAATTAATATTATTTTTTTATTGATACTGTGACATATTCTGGATTTTGTTCCTTAATCAGCTTTGAAATAATAATTACTATGTTACTTTTTTCGTATTACATAAAAGTACTAAAGATATAGGCATTTATTAATTTTAAGTTATTTAAAAAAATGATAGACAATATATATACAATATAGAGTAAAAACTTCATTGAACTATTTTAAGCAAATTATTAACAAGTGACGAGTATTGTGCGCGTTTTATACTTTAGTAAACATCTCAAGTAAATTTTCAGATCACTTTTATATGAACCTTTTATTAGTGATTGAGCACAGTGTTATTATCTTTGAATGATATTCGAGTATCCTAACTACATTTAAAAATACTTTTTCTAAAATTTCATTTTTAAGTGTTAGTGATATTATTATACAATACTTAAGCTTTTAGAAATTAAGGTGCGTTTGTTTTATCGAACTAGCTAATATTCTGTGTAAATAAATTGTAGATTTTTCTAAAATCCAAACAAAATATTAACAATGCCAATTCTGGTTGGCTTTGTTTTGCGAGATTATTATTTATTTTAAAAATTCCTAGGAGTTCTCAAAAGGACCATTTTTATACTTCTGGAATGATTGCTATAGCAATTATTTTACATCATCAACCCCTTAGTAATAATAATGACAATGTATGCCAAATCGGATGAAAAATACAAATTTGTTCCCTCTCAATTTACCTGAGAAACAGTTAGAGCGACGACAGCAGCTTTTTTAATTGCTGCAGTACACGTGAAACGATTAGCCCGACTGTCTCGTAATGATCGGACTCGACTTTTTCGGTTCTTCCTTACGGAAGACCGCATTTTTACATCCGAATTTCTACCTCTTGAGTTTTATCAACGAAAGAACGAATTATTGTTTCTGTACCACAAGAGTATCGAACAGTTTGAGCACAAGGTAAAATTACGAGTATGATTTATACCGGCGAACGTGTGGCGTTAGCGGATCGCTGTAGAAAACGCGAACGGTTGTCGAGCGAAGCGCGTTTGGATACTGCTCATCTTTATTGAAGTCACTGCTTGCCTGCTTCTGGTCGTTTTTCTCGAGCCGGCGCGCTTGCACATCACAAATGCTCATACACACATCACTGTTGTGCTGCGCTTATCAACAAAAACGGATGAAAAATAAGTGATAAATATTTTAACTATAACCATCCAATTGCTGTTTGCATACTGCAAATAACTGAATAGTAATTTTTGACAAATTCATTAAATTATAGAACAATGTCGTCTTTTATAGGATTTCAAAAAATGAATGATGTTATAAACTTGATTAATACGATCATATTGATTAGGTATTTTCTGTCATCGACAAAAACCGAACTATGAAATAGGGCTAAGTTCCAACCATCTCTATGCTCTGCCTATCTAAGTAGTGATATCTACATTTTAGCCAATTTTGCTATCTTTAGTTCGTAAACTGCGTTCACATTTTATGAGCGACATTGCTCCTTGATTCTTATTGCTTAACACTTGTACAGTTTTTAAATTGCAATTTTCAATAAATCCCACGAAACAATTTGATTTTATATAATTCTACAAAGTAGTGGTCTAACCATCAGCACAGGTAAATGATTTTCTCCACAAAAAAACTCACAGAAAACTGTCGATAAAATTGCAATAAAAACAAATTTACCAATATTTCTATTAAAACCCATCCTAATTTAGTGATTTCTAGTTTTTTGCTGTCATAGTAGTAGTAACTAAAAGGTCAGCCTATACATTTAATACAGCATATTAATCATCATAAAGTCGATCTAACATTAGGTAAACTGAATTCCATCGTGTTTTACAACTTCAATCCATTTAATAAGTTGGAAGTATGTACAACATTAAACACCACTGATCATCAATCGGATGTACATTAACCATTATATAGTTATCTCGAGATAATAATGTCCAGCAGTCAGATGTGCATACTACAGCTTTATTCGAGTTACTTGTATGATTTCTTGAACTGATAATCTTAAACCTTTAGGACGGGCTTTCATTGTTTCTTCTTGGCATATTTTGTAGGTTCAATGATCTCCATAAAATGTCAAAAACCAACACTCGATTAAAACATTTAACACCAACTTTTTTGTCAGCACCTGATGAATTTGTCTTTTTCAAATTGCAAAAATATTAAATTCTTCAAGCTAATTGTATGGTGTTGTTATTTAGTCTGAAAATGGCTAAATTGAGGTTGTGTCGAGTTTTCAGCAGACTGTTTTGTAGGTATTTGTACTTAAAATTCTGTAAACAAATTTTAATTATAAAATATTTTGAACCAGTTTTTCAAAAAACGAATTCTAAAGAAAAATAATTATCTAAAATATTAATTAAATTTACATAATTACCTAAAAAAACGATATTGTTTTTATTTATGTAATTTTAAAACACTATAGCTAACAATTTTGAAATTAAAAATATAAAAGTAAGTCCTTTTCAATAATTATTTTTATCACATTATAAAAAAAATACAAAATAAACTTCTTCAAATTTTAAAGGTAAAATTTTTAACTAAGAATATAATTTGTGATTTTTAGACGTGTTAATCAGTGATATAAGTTCATTGAAGACGAAGTATTTATATGGACATATAAATAAAGATAAATTGAAAATATGTGATGCTATTTGTCTCGGCTAGCGATTTATTTTTTTATAATAATAATAAAAAGTAAATTTTTCCATTTAAAAGAAAACATTGGTATTCATTTTTTTTTTTTTTTTGCTGAAATCTGCTCGGAAATTATTGTTGGTTTAAATAACTAATACTTGTACTTCATTTTTAATGGTTATAAAATAAAAACTTATACAAGTTTTTTTTTTTATTTTAAAGGTTTAATAACGTTAAAAGAGAAATATTGAAGATTAAAATTGTATTAGAAGTTTTATAAATAGTCACTGTCATAACAAAAGTACCCAAGTGAAAAATGACAAGGTGAGTATGTTAATTTATTTAGTTATTTTTTACACTGGTGGTTATACAAGAGGAGGCATCACTACCTTTTTCCCTTATTTTACCTTCGTATATGTATGGTAAACTATCAAATTGATAAAATTAATTTTTTTTAAGTTATTCTCAACATAATTAATTAATAAAATAAAACTTAATATATATAATTAAATAACTAATTAATGATTAAATTATTTTATCGAAGTTAGTCAAATAAAACGAATTTAGAATATAAACTTAACAAAGTAGTTAATCGTGAAATAGTTTGATCAGTATATTATTAATTTTATTGAATTTTTTAAATTATGTAAAATACGAAAATTTATTTTTTTCAAAACTGTAAAAAATGAGTGACTTTTAGAATACAGTTTTAGAAGTTATTACATTATCTTATAGTTATTATAAAGAGTCAATTATTGCTCTTCCTTTACTTATAGTTTTTAAGTGTCTTCCTAGCGATCCTATTGATCCACAATTGCACGAAATTCGTTTTCATTTTCATTTTCTATACACAAATTACAATATGCTTTTTCACTATTGCGTTCTAAAAATTGCTAAACCCAACTTTTGCTAATTTTTTATAAAACTACTTAACCTATTGAATTAACAAAAATAAATTAAACGAAGTAATTAATGTATGTTAAGCTGCAAAACTTAAAGGTAACAAATTTAAATAAGAAACGCCAATGTAATAAACAAAGAAAATGTAGGGTTTAACTGTTATGTTCCACATTATTAATATTATAACTTATTAGCTATTATTTCTAAAATCAGTGATTCAAATATTAGTAAGTATTAAGAACCCCCATGTCTTCGAACTCATGTGCAAAAATTTAGCTATCAATTTTTCATTTTCAGGAATATTTTGCAACTGAAAATGCAAAAATTTACCGATTATATAACAAACAAGTTAAAAATTAGGAAAAATCAAATCGATAAAAACGATTATAAAAGTAATAAGAACAATCTATGATATACACAATAACAATAGTGATAAAAAAGTACAGCAGGTATCCAGTAAAGTGGTGTTGAGTCATTTTTTAGATTAGTATTGATTAATATTTATCAGTATTAATAAACAGATTTGTATAAATATACAGAGTGATCAAGTAAGTAAGAAGCAGGTCAATTGTTTTAAACAATGAGAATAATAGGAACCCGTATCCTTACTTACTGAAAACTCTATATAACAAATTTACCAAAATTTACACGGTTTTTGACTTAAGAGGTAATTTGCACTCACAGAGGAATAATCACCGGAACGTCTTTCTTTTTTTAATTATCAAAAATACCTTAAAAATAAAGCACCTAAAAATGCCTTAAATTTGATTTAGCTTTGAATGGTACAAATATTCTGTTACTATGTTAAAGTATATAAAATTAGTTACGTTTTGTATTCTTTTAACAAAATTCGTTCAATAGGAGCGAGTGTTAACGATTACGTGTTATTTACAGACAAAAAAAAACCCAGCATAATAAAATAATAAGTATAAGTAAAAAAATTAATTACAATGATATTTTACAAAAAAAAATGAAGTACTTTAAACTTAATATTAATGAAAACTCATGTTAAAATTAGTGAATTAATTTTACCGTTTTTATTAATTAATCAGTATTTAACTACGGCAGATCTCCTTGAAATAAAATACTTCTATTCTCTTTGACCTATCATGATATTCCAATAAAGTTTTAAGGTTATTAAGTTCTATGAATATTTCGGCATCAGTACATTAAAATTTTCAGTTAACGTTCATTTTACTATGATGTTCAATACATCGTGGTTGTCTAAAACTAAAAGTGTTAAATTGTGCTAAAGGTACGTTTTTTTTTTATATAATTATTAAAAACTTAATGTATTTTTATTTTTGATGATTTATTAAAATGTATAAATCATAATTAAATAAAGTATGATTTTTTATTTTATATAGGTGTAAGTCTTTATAATTATAAATTGTGCTGATGAATTGTTACATGAGGATAATAAATAATAAAGAAGATACGTTGTAATCATACCTCTCCACACTTTAGTTGTTTAAGTATAATTTTAATAATTAAAATGTATTTTTGACAATATTTAAGGTTTAAATTTATTTTTTTTAAAATTCAATTATACTTTATATAATTATATATAAACTTAAATATGTATACGGTTTATATGGTGCTGTATATACTCAGTTCATATTAAGCATTCAATGTACAGAATTATGAAAATGAAAGATTTTAGATACGTATTTAAACTTTTTTAGCACGTATTATTAAATCTAAATTTTTTTTCTGATAATTGTACTTTAATGTGTAATAATGCATTTTATACTCATTAATACAATTTGTACAAAATTATGGATATGGAAGATTTGATGCGTAATTAAACTCTTGGCATGCACTTTTCAACCTATTCATAACTTTCTTTGTATTTAGTTGCTTTATAAATTTTATTTAGATTTATGAATTTAGAAGATTAGATGCATAATTAAACTCTTTTGGCATGCACTTTTCAACCTAATTTTTTTTTTTTTTTTTTTTTTTTTAGTAGTTACTTATCTTCATTGAATAATTTTGTAGGACACTTTTACTAATATTTTAGGAAAAATCATTTTAAAAAAAGAAGCATTTTGTTGTCTATTGTAATCTCTTTGTATAATTATTACTAAATTTTATAAAAAAAAAAAACTTTTTCAGAATTGAAAAAATGTTCAATCATTATGTTCTTTATTCAATTTTATGAAATCATTGAACACCTATTTTGTTGTCAAAACTTCATATAAAAAAATCATTATGTCATGTGTGGAATTGCTCTTAGTATGATTATTAAATTGTTAATAAGAACGTGTTGATTTTATTGAAAATTTTTATTATACTGTTTTGTAAATAGGAGCTCCTTAATTATCTTAAATAAAATTTTGAAAATGGAATATTAGATATTTCTTTATAGCATAAATAATTTCTGTTGCAAATACACTTTTATATACTGTTAAATAAGCAAAAATAAACAAATTTTGTACTATAAACATATAGGTAACAAGTTACTTATATTCAATCATCTTTCTAATTTTT